TTACCTTTACTGGGGCGGGAGAGAGGGGAGGAGAAGGGGGAGGTTTCAAACTACCAGAACTGACGCAGAAAGAGGAAACAGTGAACTAATCAGTAACCTGAGGCAGTGTGTTAAGACATTTATCATACATATAGTAGCCCAGTGTCTGAGAGTCTGTAATACCGAAATGCTGGCTGTTCACTCCCGGGGGGGGCACTGCTGTCTGAAATGCTGGCTGTTCCCTCTGGGTGGCGCTGTTGCTGAAATGCTGGCTGTTCCCTCTGGGCAGCCCGTGCTGCATGGGGAGTGCGGGACCCAAAAGGTCGCTTGCGCCGCTTTCTCCCCCGCAGTGACCCAGCTGAGCGGTGCAGAAGTGAGCCGAGCGCCACGGTGGGAGGCGAAGGGGGGCGGGGCAGTGACATGTGGCATGACAGCGGCTCCAGGCCCCGCCCCCTGGCCGGGAACATCACCGCCCTGCCCCCCTTCGCCTCTCGCCGTGGGGCTCGAAAGTTCCATCACCACCCTCCTTGAACGTTACCGCACCACCCTCCTTCGCCTCCCGCCATGGCGCTCAGCTGACTTCTGCGCCGCTCAGCCAGGCCGCTGCGGGGGAGCAAGCGGCGCAAGCGATCGTTCGGGCTCTGTGCCCCCATGCATCTCGGCGAGTGTGGAGCCCAAATGGCTGTTTGGGCTCCGCGGGCCCCCGAGTGAGAGGCAGGAGGTGGAGGAGAGAGAGAGAGAATGAGACGGAACGAGATACTGGAGGCTCAGGAGAGAAGACCGACGCGGAAGAGAGACCTGAAAATCCCATCTTATGACAGGCTAATTGGCTAGTTTAATTATAAAAAGGGAGGGGGACCATGTCTGTATGTGTGTGTCTTTCTCTCTCAGAACATAAGAATGATCACATTCATAGAATCATAGAGCTAGAAGAGACTTCAGGAGGTCATCAAGTCCAGCCCCCTGCCCAAGGCAGGGCCAATCCCTACTAAATCAACACAGCCAGGGCTTTGTCAAGCAGAGACTTAAAAACCTTTAGGGATGGAGATTCCACCATCTCCCTAGGTAACCCATTCCAGAGCTTCACCACCCTCCTATTGAAATAGTTTTTCCTAGTATCCAACCTAGACCTCTCCCACTGTAACTTGAGACCATTGCTCCTTGTTCTGAGAACAGCCTCTCTCCATCCTCTTTGGAACCTCCCTTTAAGAAGTTGAAGGCTGCTATCAAATCCTCCTTCACTCTTCTCTTCTGCAGACTAAACAAACCCACATACCTCAGTCTCTCCTCATAGGTCAGACGCTCCAGTCCCCTTATTTTGGTTGCCCTCCGCTGGACCCTCTCCAATGCGTCCACATCTTTCTGTAGTAGGGGGCCCAGAACTGGACACAATACTCCAGATGTGGCCTCACCAGAGCCAAATAAAGGGGAATAATCACTTCTCTAGATCTGCTGGCAATGCTCCTCCTAATGCACCCTAATATTCCACTAGCCTTCTTGTCTACAAGGGCACACTGTTGACTCATATTCAGCTTCTCATCCACTGTAATCCCCAGCTCCTTTTCAGCAGAAATGCTACTTAGCCATTCAGTCCCCAGCCTGTAACAATGCTTGGGATTCTTCCGTCCCAACTGCAGGACTCTACACTTGTCCTTGTTGAACCTCATCAGATTTCTTGTGGCCCAATCCTCTAATCTGTCCAGGTCACTTTGGACCCTATCCTTGCCCTCTAGAATATCTACCTCTCACCCAGCTTAGTGTCATCTGCAAACTTGCTGAGGGTGCAATCCATCCCCTCATCCAGGTCATTATTAAAGACGTTGAACAAAACCGGTCCTAGAGATCCTGGAGGCACTCCGCTAGAAACCAACCGCCAACCTGACATTGAGCCGTTGATCACTACCCATTGGGCCCAACAGTCTAGCCAGCTTTCTATCCATCTTACAGTCCATTTATCCAATCCATATTCCCTTAACTTACTGGCAAGAATATTGTGGGAGACCATATCAAAAGCCTTGCTAAAGTCAAGGTATATCAATCACATCCACTGACTTTCCCCATATCCACAGAGCCAGTTACCTCATCATAGAAGCTAATCAGATTAGTCAGACACGACTTGCCCTTCATGAATCCATGTTGATTATTCCTGATCACTTTCCTCTCTTCCAAGTGCTTCAAAATGGATTCCTTGAGGATCCCCTCCATGATTTTTCCAGGGACTGAGGAAAGGCTGACTGGCCTATAGTTCCCTGGATGATTGTTCTTCCCTTTTTTAAAGATGGGCACTACATTTGCCTTTTTCCAATCATCCAGGACCTCTCCTGATCTCCATGAGTTTTCAAAGATAATGGCCAAAGGCTCCGCAATGACATTTGCCCACTCCCTCAATACCCTTGGACGCATTAAATCCAGGCCCATGGATTTGTGTATGTTTAGCTTCTCTAAATAGTTTCTAAATTGTTCTTTCCCCACCAAGTGCTGTCCACCTCCTCCCCATACTGTGTTGCCTAGTGCATTTGTCTGGAAGCTGACCAAAGGTCCATCTAGTTCAGTATGCTGTCCTCTGACAGTGGCCAACCCTAGGTGCCCCAGAGGTAATCAGCAAGTGTTGCCCATTCCCAGCTTCTGACAAGAGAGGCTATGTACACCGTTTCTGCCTATCTTGACTAAGTCATTGATGGATTTACTCTCCATGACTTTTATCTGCTCTTTTTTGAACATTGGTACAGTCTTGGACTTCACAACATTCTCTAGCAAGGAGTTCCACAGATTGACTCACTCAAAAAAAATTCAGATTAGAACATGCTATTGCCTCTTTAGACACTAATATGCTCTTCAGTTTTAAAGGTGACATTGTGGCATTATTATTGGTCTCAATTTATAAATATTTAATGTTTAGAAATATAAAAGCATGTAGGTGTGCTAATGTTTTAACTATTGAAAGAGCAAGACCACTGGAAAACTCATCCCTACTACAAACAAACACTAAAACAGCCAATTAGAAAAATATCCTCCTGCAAAGACCAGTCCCCAAAAAATCCTCAACCCAACTCCTTCTGACAAGTCAAATGTCCTCCAAAATGTTAGGATACATGGAATTGCAGCATTCTGAAGCTTTAAAAAATAAGGTTCATCTAGGTATGCAGTAAATTCTAAAGCAGATGTCTTTAATGGTAAATCCTTGCTAATAATTCTTGCTCCGGGCAATTGCGTTAGCATGCTCTTAAAAACAAAGGGGGTCTCCATAGGTTCTATGTTAACTAAAGAAACATTTACTAATTACTAGGTCTACAAACTTGTTCTGGAATTCAAGAGTTAAACTGGGTTCTTTTTAGCCTAAATATCAATAGTGAGATACCATCAGCCAAATTTTACCATCAGTTATGCTTGTGAAACCTCATTATGTTAAAAGGCTGTACAGGTGTGAGGGGATTATATGATGTTGAAATTTCAATTACAGTCATGGTGATGCATAAGGAGAAAGAGTTCACAGCACATTGTTGGCTTTGCTGGGGGAACAGTAAAAAAACAAAAATGCCCCAAAACCCCACCAAAACCTATTTTTGTCTCTGCAGCCAGCAGATATTATTCAAACAGACATGGAGTAGATCTATTAATTGGCTGCAATTTTTCTACAGTAAAACAGAACATCTAGTCCTGCCTAAAACTTTGGAATTGGGTGACATCAGAAGCAGGTCAGTGGTTAGAGTTCAAAAGGAATTTTGCCATTTAGCTACTCAGTGTTGCCAGTAGCTAGTACTCACATTCAGGAGAAGGCAACAACCATCATGTCATCATAATGGTAAAGCCTGGCTAAGAGCCTGCTCCCCTACCTGTGTACGGGGAGATTTCAGCAAATCCAGTAATGTGCCTGAACCATTATTGCTTACTGCTTAAGCTTTAGCAACCAAGCTAACAGGCCCAAATTAGACCTAGACCACAGTCAGGGGGAATAAAAGGGAGTTTGGGTGCCACAGAGAGGGCAGCTTGACCCCTCATCCTTCCTGAGGCCCAAATCTCTAGTGAAATCACTGAGCTATACATTAAGAAAAACAGGAAGTTTGTCTAAATGCCCTAAGACACATATGTCAGGGCCCCCAAGCATGGAGTCTCTGAAAAACAAAACACACATCTGGTGAAAGTGATGGTCAGAAGAAAATCTCTTGCCTAACCTGTTTGAGTGACATGTTACTGTAATATTAATGGATAAATAGGGAAGGAAAGTTTGAGTTAGGAGGGACAATTTTGGGGAACACTTGGAGGGATGCCTCGAGGACTCCTCACATCTGGGTGCATCTCTGTCCCCACCAGCAGATAGAAGACTGGCCATTGGAAGCCTGCCCAGTGTCACTCGAGAGCCACATTCAACTTCGATAACTATCGAGGGCGGGGTTGTTTTACTAACCTGTTGTGGATGTGTGTAAGTACTTGAGACTAAGTAAAGTTTAGCTTTAAGTGAAAGCACTCGTGTTGTTCTGTTTGTACTATCCATCTAGTGGTCGGACGACCATGTCTCCCCTGAATTATTTCCTGAAATCACCTCGCAGAGAGTAAAAGTTACCAAGAGGTTTGGATTGAAAGAACCCAGGTAACACCTCCATTGCCTAGACTGCTTGGGTCTGATGGCTCTAGCTTACCATGCATATTTGCTGTAATTAGTGTAATAGTGGCTTTGAGCATGTCATGCACATTCAGGTCAAAGTCATGGCTGAATAAGGCCATCGCCTCTTTTTATAAGGTTTGTTAAGAACTCATGTGTTTCCCTATAAGTATAGGATATAAAAGCAGCCCAGATGAGGGCACAAGTGAAGGTGGATGTATTCCTACAACTTAGTTTTCTCTGTCCTACTAAGGTTATAAAAGTAGCTGATACTATTGTACTTTTCTTTGCATCAAATTAAGAGTCCTTTGAGACCTGTATCTGAATGTGTCCATGTTTTCACCTTTTAGAAGAATACAAATTCTCTTGGACTTGCCAAAGTAATTTTAAAAAGCAAGTATATATTTCTATATGCATTTATTATTCCAGTTTGTAAAAATATAAGACTAATATACAGCTAGAGCTAATTTGATTTTATAAAATCAAAGTTCATTTAGTAATATCAATGTACATTATACATTAAAGTTGTAAGAAAAATACTGATATTTGACATTTTAAACAAGTTTTCATTTGTGTAAAAATCACATTGCAAGTAAAATTTAATTATAAAATACAGAATATTCACAAAAGTACATGTTGCAGACAGCTCATGATGACATTGTCCTAAGTTTACTGAAGCTGTGGAAGAACATATGATTCAGGTAAGCTTAACTTTTACTGATTCCATAACAGCAATCCAAAGTGAATGTATCTTAATTCCATCAACATTTCCTCTTTTCTAATAAGGTGCACTTAAAAGGCTAATCTGTTTTCAGAAGCCTGCAGAAAAGAGGGACAGCTTGCTTTTATTGTGTATGTACACATCCAAATAACACTATTCAAAAGAATTTTGATATTCCACTGCATTTAGAAATAATTTGGATATAAATTAGTTTATAAAATCTGGATTAAAATACATTTCATATGCATGAGGATACTGACTACATAAAGAGTGTGTGTTGACAGCAGCTTGATATTTTCATGCATAATTTTAGACTTCATAGTTAAAAATCACTAAAAGATCCAAGCCTTGAATTTTTTCTCCCCCCCACAGGGAGAAATTTTGAAAGATGTTAACTGTTTAAAAAAAAAAAAAAACTTTAAGAGGTAGTGTATAAAAGGCTAACATAGGTATAGTATTAGACTGAACCCAGTACCATTTAATATTTAAAGTTAAATGTAGCCATTTATTTCAGTTGATTATCCTGGAATAGTGATTTTTAAAATATTTAGTAACTTGTAGTGTGGTATGATGAAAATAAACAATTTTGGAACTCTCTCATGGTAACTGCAGTGTTATGTGATTACATATTGTGCAGTCTGTTATTTTAATTTTTAAATCTTTCATGACAAATTCATGAGCAATTATACACTCTATGCCCTGAATTTCCTTAAGTTCTTAGTACCGGTATATATAAAAAAATATATGCTGTGAGTAAAAAAAAAACCCTCAAAATTAGGCATTGGACAAAAGTTTAGCAGCATACTACCTTGAAGTGTTTGTATTTAAGCAATAAATTAATATTTTGTAATGTTAGCATTTTCAGGTGCCAGACTCACATGTAAGTTAATAGCTTATCTTACATCCAAGTTGCGACATTAAAGTACCATATTAGATCCATAAAACAATTCCACTAAATGAAAGCAATACATGAAAGCAATACACCTCTACACAAATGTGCTAGTAGTTCACATTCATCTGTGGATTTCATTCTCTTCTCTTAATCCAAGTACATTTTATTGCTTTGATTACTCGCAGTACATTCAAGTAAATAAAAGGAATGTAAATGCACACAAACACGATAAAGGAAAGAGGTCCTCACTTGAGAAAGGAAAGGGGGTACATTGTTGAGGGAATAAAAACCTAAACCTAGTTTTAAAGAAAGACATCATAAATAAAGGAACAGAGCATGAATAAATAAGTTTTTAAAAATCAGTTTTTAAATTTACATATTTATTCCTGGGTGAATTCTGCACTTGATATCCTCAGCAGATCCCTCTCCTCCCCCACCACTGTAGAATCGGACAGGAAAGAGAAAGGAAACCGTAATTACATCTTTCGCTCACAAGGCAGCGCAAAAAGTGAGGGCAGCAGGCTCATGGGCCAAGCGGCTGGCCTCCTACTGGCAGTGCCCTGTGAGGCTTAGGATTTCGGGATGGGCAGTGCAGGGCACAGGAGTTAGGGGGTGGGTGATAGATGGGAGGGGATAAATGGGAGTGGGAATGCTGGGCTACATGGAGCTGGGAAAGTGGCTGAGCGTAGGTGCTGACACACAAGGAGGCGGAACAGCTATGACTGGCTGAATGTGGAGTGGGGAATGCCGGGGCACATGGAGACAGAGGAGCTATGCCTGGTTGAGTTAAGGTGCAAGGGAACTATGCTTGGCTGAATGGGTTGTGGGTGGTGCAGGGTCACAGACAGGAGCAGATGTGACTGACTAAATGGAAGAGGTAAGGAGGGGTCAGGGTCAAAGGTCTGCATGAGGGAGACTTCCTAAAAAGCCCTCTCCTCAACCCCAACCCCAAAACCAACCAACCAAACCCTGTTCCATATTTCTCCCACCACAAGTAACAGCCCTCCAGGTTCATTCCCAGCAATTACTCCCCTCAGTTCTTCCAATACTACTGTCTCTCCCAAGCCTTTGCACTATTGCTGAGAGGTGTGGAAATAGGTTTATTTTATTTTATATGAACTGTTATTCAAAGTTGCATATTCACATGCTTAATAAATAATCTGTCGAAATCGGTCTTGAATTTTTTTGTCTATATGTGTTAGAGACATACTTGTTGACTGGTATTTTGAAATCATTTACCAAAATAATTGAAACTGGGATGATTACATTGTGCTGATACTATGAGACGCAGAATTTTAAAATATTTTGCTTTTTTTTTTTTTAATTGGGAAGGGTCGGAATTTCCCAAGGAGCAACTGTTGCTAGTTCTCACTTTTATTCCCATATAAAGTCAAACTGTTAAAAGAATGTTTTGTTCTTGTTTCTTAGAAATCTTAGATATTCGAGCTGGGAAGAACCTAAAGGTAGAATTTCACATTTTACATAGAAATTTGTTCTGCTAAGAAGCTACATCCTTACTAAGATAAATACAAACATAATAAGCAAAATAGCTCAGGCTACATTTGCCAACACCATTTTCCATTACACTGAATTTCACAAGTCTGAAGTACTTCAGGTGGGCTATATTCCATCAAAGCTTGCAGTTTGAAGGATTTAGGAGCCTAAGTACTTTAGGGTCACCGGAAAATTCCACCTTTAGAAGGCTACTTTTCAAAAAATTAGCTTGTGTATAAAAGGACAACTGTGTATGTATTAAGTTAATAGATTTTCATTATTAGAAGTGAACTAATTTGTTTTGATTACAATGATTTCATGTCAAACTTATTTCTTAATACAAATACAATTTTAGCCCTTGATGCTACAAACAAAGCACATGAATAATTCTACTGAAGTCAATGAACTGTTCTGCTATTCATGAGTCAATTTATACTCCTGTTTAAATGTTTGCAGCATCAAGATTTTAGTTTTCAATATTTGTCTATAGCAGTTTTGAAATAGACAAATAAGATATCCTATTAGGGGTGCCATATAAATCAGCATTTATAATTTAGCTCATTATAAATTCTGAAGTTGTAATGGCACAAATTTGATTTTTTTAAAGTTTTAGTCTTTGTAAAACTATCAAGTGATTTAAATTGCTCCAACCTGTGCTGGATAATAAAAAAAATTAGAGTGTTTTAATAGTTGATAATCATTAAACAGTTCTGTATTAACTTCAAGTAACTCTTTCCTCTCATTTGGAATTATCTTTATATAGCAACATGCTTATTTCATGCTCCAAAAAATGATCATGTATTTTTTCTTCATTCTATTAATTTTGTATTAGATTTATTTAGATATTTACATAATGTAATTTACTACACTTATCACTAAAGCCTGCCCATAAGCGATAATCTTATAAAATACTGTAAACTAAGAGAAGAGAACTGTTCCTCAAGATACCAGAAAAAGTAGTAAGTCTTTCATGTTAAAATTTTAAAATAATTGTGTCATTAAGGAGTAAACTCTGATGACCATAAATTCAGATTAGACATGCAGCTTCAGAATCTGATTAACCTCTCATCGTAATATATGTATCTCTAGAAGTAAACATGCAATCAATATCTCTCAACCATCCTTCATTTTACCTCAGTCCCATCACAGCGAGGACAGATTCACAGTTACATCTACATTTTACCTTTACAAAATATTTACATGGAATTATAGAATTATGAAATTGACATCCATCAGTCCACATAATTCTAAGCTTCTTGCATTTACTGTTGCTCCTTTCATTTGTTTGCAGGTCTTAAGGATTGAGAGGTATAAATTGCATTATATATATTAAGCCAAATTAAAATTTATGGCATCTTCAGTTAATATAAAATACACCAGTGAGGCAGTTTCATAATGTTATAATTGTTCCATCTTCTAAGGACTTTTTGCCTGGATCTTGTATTTCATATTCCATGTTAATGTTGCCTGCTGAATGATGTAAGTTTACTTCACTGGAAGGAATGAAACCATTTTGTGTTGACTCATGAACAAGTTCAATGTGAGTTAATGATTCCAGACTTTCACTGGTAGGGACAGCTTTTGGAATCTGCTGGGGCTCACCATTATCTTCAATAATAATATCATCTTCATCACTGTCGTCGTCGTCTTCTTCTGGATGGAAATTCTGCACAATATGTGGTGTGTAACCTGGAAGGCTAGTATCAGTAGACTGACCTGAACTCCCAGAAGTCCTACTGTGTCTAACAATATTATTTCTCTGATTTGCTGGTCTCACTGTAATGATCAGGTTACGGCTATTTGCAATCATCATGTCTGTAACCTGATCAAGGCTCTTCCCCGAGACTTCTATGCCATTTACCTCCAGTACTTCATCATTAACAGCCAGTAAGCCTGTGCTTTGAGCCAGGCCTCCAGGAACAAGCCTGGATATGAAAATCCCAGGTACTTTCTCCAACCCATGTGGTGTCACTCTGACACTAGAGCCATCTCGTATATAGAATCCAAGTGGTTTGTCAGTTCCATATTTGTAAAGTCGCACCCTGCGGTGGGTTTCTGGGAGAATATCCACATCTATAATAGATGACACTGGTCTGAAGTCTCGTGGCATGCTAATGACAACATGTGGTTTCTTTCTATGGTTATCTGGACGCAAAACATTTGATAAAACATTCTTCTTCCTTGTCATGGTAACCGTACCAAAGGCACTATAGTCTGCATCTTCTGCAAGAAAACAGATAGCATATGTTGGTAATTAGTATAGAGTGAACTACTCTGTTTTGCCTAGCATGGCTATCAGTAAAGAAAGTTTTAGGCTGACAGTGCAAAATGTCTAATAAAAAGTTCTTAGCATGCTGAATCAATAACAATTTTCTCTATCAGTAAAGTAATTATTTTTTTATTTCAAGTCATTTCCCTTTATAATTACCATCAAAGATAAGCTATTGTATTTAAAAAAAAAATTAAGAAAAATTAACAGTGTATTGAGGCAAGAATGAAATTCCAGCTGTTTTAAAACAAGACATTATCAAACTCAGGTATTCTCTCTTTATCCACATACAACCTACCTAAAATTCTTATTCATAATCAGAGTCCATTTATTATAATTTCTCCCACACCCTACCTTCCAGATCACTAGGACACAAAGAATTAAAAAAAAGTTCACTGGCTGCTTTTCCCATTATAGTCAAGTATCTGAATGCTAACCAAGTGACCCGGATTCACTCTCCGGAAAATTTATTTCATTTCACACAATCCCATCCCTGCTCCTACTCTGTGTAGGTAAAATGGGTGGTAAATTAAAAACAGAGTCACACAGCTAAAAATACTTCAGACAAGTGATGTAACCAATAGCCAATACTATAACTTCCATAATTTGGAGCAACAGAAGTGTCTGAATATCTTATATTTGCTCAAGGTTGGTTTTTTTTTTTTTGGAGGGGTGGGGGTGGGAGGAAGTTTTTAAAGCAGCAGTTCTCAACCTTTTCCAGATAGGGACCCATTTTGACAATTCAGGAAGACTTGGTGACCCTAAGCAATTCAAAAACTGGGAGGGAGGGCAGAGCCACCTGGGGAGACACTTGGCGACCCTTTCGAAATGTAATAGCGACCCATAGGTAGGGAAACCCTGCTTTAAGAGTATAAGGTGCTTTAAATGGTTTTTATGGAAAAGAAAATTAGCTATCATATCATGCTTCATTTGCATAATCGCGTTATGGCACTATTTCGAAATAACAGATGCTGTTAAGACGTTATTTCGAGAGACGGGTTTTCTCTCGAAATAACCACATCTTAACAGCATCTGTTATTTCGAAATAGTGCTGTAACGTAATTATGCAAATAGAGCACGGGATATGTCTTCATTTGCATCTCTCTCTCGAAAGAGGGTGCAAGTGTAGACATACCCATACAGAAAAACTGACACCACTCTATTTCTTTTCCATTTATCACATGACCTTTTGGGACTAACTATCCCTTTGATCCAGGGAACTGGAATTTCTTTGTGAATGCTGCTGATGCCCTATAGTTATGTTCTATAGAGAGAAGAGCTTGAAAAGGCAAATCTAAATCCAAAGGGTACAAGAAAATAGTATTTCCACAATTTTGGTGGAGTGTAAAATCTCAGGAAACTTCATGAAGTTTCTGCTCGGGACATAAGTAAATTGGAGCCAAGCAATACTCCATATATGAAATTCCTAACATACACATACCAGAAAAACATGTCAGAGTAAACATATTCCTCACCCCTTCAAAACTGAACTGTACTTACTATGTTCACTTAGAACATTAGTTACCACATTAGGAACTACAGCAATGCAAGTAACTACTATGTGCTTTGGAAAGCTGAATAACGACTTTACTAGCCAAGAACAAAGACAGCAATTCTAAGTAGTTAAATTTGAAAAACTGGTTGTTAGTAAGCAGGAAATACAAAATGTAATGATGGTCTGAAAAAGGGGTTCTGGAATGTAACCGTCTGAAAATAGGAAGTGGCCCAGACATAGAAACATCAAAGCTATGGCTGGACCTTCAGTATTCCAACCAATGTGGTTTACAATGTCACAAGTTTTGCACTTTCAAACATTATCCACAAAATACCATTAAATTAAGCGAGACAAGACCGGAAGTATCCTCTTGGTGACCCTTAAATACTATGCATACTATTTAAAATTCACTGGAGACAGTACATTTGCAGCCTACAATTTTTTGAAATAATGCAATTTGAATAGGATGTTAAAAACATGTAATTGGCTAACCATGTAACCTCTGAAAACGTAAGCGCTTACATGGTTATATGTGGGGCGGCAGCCAGCTCCCTGGGAGCCAGTGTGTACCAATAGCCAGGGATTAATTTTGATTAATCAGCTAATCGAGTAGTTGATGGACTTTCCATTGACTACTCAACTAGTCAATAAAGGGTGGGAGGCGCAGCAGGCAAGGGGAAGAACTGCTGCACCTCTGCTTCTTCCCCCTCACCCCCCCACAGCAGAGCTAGCTTAAAAGCCAGCTCCCCCCAGCACTGGCTCCTCCCCCCTTGCTGCCTGGGGCAGCACAGATGAGGGGAAAATGCAGTAGTCAACTCTACTACTATTTTACATCCCTATCTGGTGCACGTAGCAGCTTCAGCCTGCCGCCTTGTACTGCTGCCTCTGTATCGGAGGCAGCAGCACACGTTGGCAGCCAGCTCCCCAGTTACCAGTTTAAACAGCTACACTCTTACATCCCTAATTTTGAACAAGGGAAAAAAAACAAATCTTACCAGTTGATTATTGGATATGGCTTCAAATAGCAGTTAAGTTAATATAAATAATAAATGTTTAACAAATAACTGTTCAGTGCATTGTAGGATTGAGCATTTAAGTGAACAAAACAACAATTTAAATTTAAAGTTAGCTGCTATGATTAATACACCCCCTTAAACATGTACTATTTTATACTACACAAAAAAAGTTATTTCACATTAAGGCTGCTCAAAAGCATTTTCCAATCAATCAAAAGTGGCAAGGAGTCCTGTGGTACTTTATAAACTATCCGAAGTGTTGGAGCATAAGCTTTCGTGGGCAAAGACCCACTTCGTCAGATGCACTAACACTGCTACGCCTCTGATACTCCATCAATCAAGACACTCAAAATCTAAGACGACACTAATGAATGTAGTATATATTGATTTTTTTTTTTACTAGTCACCTTCTTACCTTTATTTTGATTCTTACATAACTCCCACTAGGAAGGCCATGGTGTCTCCCCAAAATATATCCTCACCCTTCCTATCACTACTGACTCAACCCCACCAATGCCCTCTCTTCAAGCCCATTTTATTGCTACAAGAAGTGCTAAAGAAGCTATGGTAGGACCACCATGATGAATAGTGGTACACATGCCACTTCTTCAATGAAAGAAAGTATTCCCATGGTGCTGAAGCATTTGGTATGCTAAGAATTTAAAAATCAGCAATGCCCTCGGAAGTCTCCTCTCATCCTATTGTCTCTTCCACCCACCCCAAACTGTCGCTTCAATATCCCAAGATCAGGAGTAGTAAGAGTTAGACTAGACTAGAGTAACACAACCAAAGCAAAACAAGAAGCAACACTAAGAAGTGTAAAACAGGGGGAAGCAACTAAAAGAATTTGACAAGTCCACTGGCTACATTTCAGGGAGTTTAGTCTTTTTCACTATATATTTTAGAAATGTGTGTGTCTGTCCAACTATCTGTGAGTCTGATTGTTCAAGAACTCTTCCTAAATGGTAAGAGCTAGCTTCCTCTCGTCATAAAGCGAGGTAAGGGTTTGGTTGTGCCAGGACAATGGGATGTGCCTAGAGTTTAATTGTTTCTTATAAAATGGAAATGGGGTGGTCTGTCAAGAGAGATATTTGCAGAATGACCATGAGAGGGATGGAGGAGTAGCAGCAAAGGGCTGGGGTGGAGCAAGGGAAATGTATCTATTATATATTTCAGGGAGTTTGTCTGTTTTTGTGTGTCTCTGTCCCCCAGCCAAGGGACATGCAGCTCTCCCCTGGTTGTGCCTGCTGGAGCTGAAGCAGCCATGGACAGATAGGTTTCTCTCACCAGGTCCCAAGCTACATCTGAGAGAGAGGGCTGGGGCTGTCCTCTCTCCCAGGAGCAGCCTGCATATTGAATCTCTGATCCCTTGTCCCACCTGAAAACAATTATTTAAATGAAGAAAAACAAAACTTCTTTAAGGACCCAACTAATGCCAGGTAAATCACAGAATCATAGAGCTGCAAGAGACCTTAGAAGGCCATCAAGTCCAGCCCCCTACCCAAGGCAAGACCAATCCCAATCTTCTAGTTGGGTTATAAAAACAGGATTCATTAAGCAACCTGTTAGAGAAATTTGGAGCTACTGAACTAAAATAAAGCAAGAATTAGAACCAGTGGTCCCTCTAGTTTTACAGGTGATTAATCAGTCAGCTCCCTGGGCTAAGCCCAGAGCCCCTGACTAGGCAGGACTGATCACCTGTGGAGCGTGCAGCTTAGAGGGAACACTAATTAGGACCAAATTTTTAAAACACTCAGGTGCAATATCAGAAAGGGCTCATTTTTAAGTATTCTTTGTGCCAAAGCCTTGTTGTAACCTTTGACAAAAAAGATTACAGAAAATCTATTCGTTTCCAGACGAGTTAGTGTGAAATCTGGTGACTAAATTCAACTGCTCAAATGCGAAAGAAGGATTTTATATGGACAATAAATACAAACCTCAAAGCAACAATCACTATGAAGTCGCTTCAATACTACTAATTATGGTGTTAAATATGCAGTTTATTGTAATGAAAGATGCCAGGGCTCAAGCAATTTTTTTTATATACATAACTGATGCAACCCCCCACCCCCACCCCAAGAGTACTGGGGATATGAACTGCCAAGCAAAAAATTAAGCAATGTTGAATATTTATTTAAGGTTCATATCCATGGCAGATTATGGACAGTTGTGGATATTTTTTTCTTCTGATCAGAATAAGAAATTTAGACAACGTATTTTAAAAATTTATGCCAAGCTCGGAAAATGAAACTTATGTTTGAACATGTAATCTAGGGACAGTACAAAGTTCATATCTGCACTTCTAAGATCAAGGTTCAAAGCACATAACTTAAAAAATTGAACGTGTGAGCCAATGATTACACATTCAACAAGGACAGAGAGGAGATGGGAAGATCCAGAGCGATCAAAATTAAAATGGGCTTGTCCATCTTAGTCCAGATTG